GGATTGGTATTGCGCGAATTCTGGAATCCCATTTTAAATACTATTCCAAATACTATACGCCGTCTTCAACTGTTCAACCATGTCCTCCGTCGATCCGAAGAGGAACTCGCACGAAACACTCTATCGCCTACACGTTGTACGAATTTGAAACGTTGTTTTGGACACCATTTGAAAACATGGGGTAATACAAGCAAAACAGATTTATATGGTCTAGAAACCCACAGTTGATTTCTGGAAGGAGTGCTAACCAAATCTTCCGGTGCGAGGACCTTAACGCAGATCGATACGCATGGGCAGCTGTAATCAGAGATGTTCAAGAGGCCTACTTATCCTCCGCAGGAGATAGTCGTCTAAAAGAAAGAAGACCTGGAGCAGCACAATCAAAGCGGTGCACGCGCTCCGAAGCTACAATCAGAACTGGCTTTTATCACCATGTTGTTGGGTGTCGCGCATAACGAGTCATTTTCGGCTAAACATTTCAAATCGACGCATCCTCATGGAACAGTTAATCGCGCGAAATGAAACTACTATCACCAGCACTCATTCAACTTGTTTCGTGGTGACGTCGAGCGTAGTTGGCTTCCGNACATTCACTACTATTACCATCGCGTAAATCACCCTCAGAATATAAGATTGTATTTTTATTACTCGATACTGCAGTGAAAATACGCAACGTAGCCAAGAGAATCTAGTGATACCCCGACAGCTTTTAAACATCATAGCTCGGAGTGGAAAACCACAAGTGGTCTTAACAGGGTAGCTGTGACATCGGTTTAAGCGACAGTGAAGCTGCCTACCACCAACCGTGGGGAGGGGATTCAAATTCTAGAACCGTCAGACCTCGGGGAATTATTTGTTGGAACTGATCACAAACTGAATACACAGAAATTCGAAACATCTTTAGACCCCGTGTGGAATTTGAACCAAACACGCAGCCTCATGACTCATAAAATTCAACTAGATGTCGTAATTCACTTCAAAATTTGCCGATTTCTTGCTTTGTGTACGAGACCGATCATATGCATGCTGGAAAACCGATTCCGGTTCAATTTTTGGTGGTACCTATGTGAATGATCAGAGCGGGGCAAACAGTCCATTTTTGTTACCATGGCAACCCGGAAAATCATCAACACAAATGGGAGAGAGATAAATGTAAACGATAAGCAATAAATGTATTTATGTGAGGATCTGGAAAAAAAAGCAAATGGATCCGAAGCTTAAGTAAACTGATATGACAATTGATGAATGGGAACGGAACAGCTTTGAAAGATAGAACAGTAGATTGACTGAATGAAATATGTTCATAAACGGCAGGTGGTTGCGATGAATGGACCGCTCACAGATGTGACACAATTCGACTAACATCGAATAGACAGAGTGGGTAGCATACGATAGCAGTGCATCACAAGCGAAGCGTGTCCTAGCAGAGATCGAGTGAATCTCAGCAAGAGTTAGACTGCTGGACTGGGGGATGTTGCAATTGAGCATTTACACCTCAGGCATAGAGCGATCCATTTCTTTTCGAATAGTGCTGTCACGCAGGCTGAAAGGGAATGAAAAAGAGAGAAGAGAAAGAATCTATTTCACGCTCACGGCTACAAGGAGATCACATTTTTGTGAGTATTCAACAGGCTGAGGCCGTACAACCTCGAACGTAGATATTCGAATTTCAGGAAAATGACGAAAATCCAAAGGCACAAAGACAGAAACAGTGGTTGACATGCGTTGGAGAAAACTGGCGGTAAAATTACTTGATACAACAATTGTCACTTCCTGACACGATTAACTATCGAACAGAACGAAAGGTCAGGTCTTATACATGGGGAAACCCAGTAGGTGAACTATGATTCACCAGTTGATAGAGCTTCAGTTACCGTCAACTAGAAGGACCAACACAGTTACAACCAGGAGCTGTGCTGAATTTCGATCCATTAAAAGCAACCGTAAAGAGCGGTGAACATAGCAGAATAATTTTTATTGTACATTCCAACGTGTTGGGTGAATCATCATCATCAATATTTAAAAAAAACCGAGTCATGAGAGTTGTAACGACAAATCACATCAAGTTCCCAAAGCATGCGAGGTACTACGATGAGCATCGGCAAAGCTTTTTACGACACAAGATGGGCGGTGGTGGCGGACCTGGAACCTCTACACACCAGTTACTGCAGACTGCAGGCGTCACTCGTTCAGCCTCAGAGTTTGTACTACCTGGAACTCTCTTCCGCCTCAAGTTGTCCGTGCTCCAACCATCGAATCATTCAAGTCACGGCTCGATGACGCATTAAAACACTTAACTTTCAGCACCCGTGAGTGAACGTTATAATTTGCTATTTAATTGTACTACCAACCGAACCCAGTGTGTACAGATTCAATAAGTATCATTTTTGTAATTGGCCCATCATAAAAGTTTGAACACTGACTCCGATCATTAGAAAAACTGATCGGAAGAGCAGAGCTGTATGTTACCGAGTGCTTTTCTGGGTCGCGGATAGGGAAACTCCCGTAAAGCCGCGACCAATTGTAAATAAGTCTGGGTCTGAATAAGCCGTCGCGGACGATCAACGGCAGTGCTTGGGGATGTGGTGGGTCTACAACTTAGCTAGTGTTTTCCGCACAAAACAACAAATACATCTGTGTATGGCGTTGTGACATGGCGAGTGTGGCCCACCCCACTTAATATGACCGTTGCCCCTCCCCACCCCTGTCGAGTTAAAGCTACCCACCCACATGGTTCTTCAGCGGAGGCGAATGGACGAAAACACTCTCCAGCTACTCATCTGGAACAACGCGGCTGCCTTACAGTTAACGTTTGGTTGCACAAAAGCTGGGGTGTCCTTGAACAAGGACTACTTTGGAACGGGCAACCAAGTAGGACAATAACCAATAACGTAAACACCTAGGAACGTTTTCTAATTTTCCTTACAACTATGTTTGACACCTAGCAGTTCTACCTCGTACACATAGTCAAGTTTCTCTAAACCCCTTCAACTTTCCTACATTCCATCTGAGTATATGCACATCCATCGCGATTCTCAGCTGTTTGTATTAGCAGCGGTACCTGATGGAAGTTCTACTCCTGTTCAATGGGGTCTTGCTTCGATTAACTTCCGAGTTTCATTGAATACTCCTTCATCAGTTAGAGCTCTTATTTGTCCTACATGTCCGTGCAAACTGGCCTAATTTAACATACGAATCCTGACCGGTGCGGGACAACAGGTGCAATTAACTCGCGCGCTATAGACCATAGCAATTGATGTGCTGTAACCAACAAACTCACATTCAAGTCTGCAGCTCTATCAACGTACTGATGTACCTAACCAACCCATCTAATCATTCCTGAGACCTTGAGGCTTCCGGCCTTGCCGTAGCTTCAAATGTGGTGGTGGTGGCGCAGTGGTTCAATCGCTGTCACCGGTCTTGTGGACTCTGAGGTCCCAAGTTCGAGTCCCGCCATCGCCACCCAACCTAGGTGGTAGAAAGCTTCGCTGCCACCCGTTTCAATACCACGTCTGACCTAGAGGGGCCTTATGTGTTTCGTTACTCCTCGTCCCGGGGCTTAGGCTACCGGCTATCATCACTGAACAGCAGATCGTGCCTGTGGGGTTTATTTTCTCTGCTGTTCATCACACCCTGGTATGTAATAAAAAAGTGAAAAAGCTGAAGCAGCACTACTAGAATGAATCCTAGTCGACAGTCGACTGTGCAAGGTCAAACTAAGAAGTTCGTGCGCAATCGACAGTCTTTGCCACGACAGACGGGACTTGTACTTGTATTACATGTATAAGCGTACTGGAGGCCAGAGGCGGTCAAAGAAAACGTTCACAAAAGCTATATGACTTCTTGCATAAAGCGATTCGGGTTGATATAATGATTCTAACAAGAGAACAGAGTAGATCGGCTGACTTCGAACGAGGTGGGAGGTCCTTTAGAATTATATTCCTGTCACTCAGAAAAAATTATGCGGGGAAACCTAATTTTCCGCTGGGAATTCCTACGGTGTCAATTTGAAATGGATTGAGACCNTACTTGTTATCGTTGTTCCCTATCATCTGTTACTCCTTATTTTCAAATTTCCCATTTGTCCCCCAAGTCCACTTTCCTTTGTATTTTCACGGTTGTATCGTGGGCACCGTGCTTGTTCTCAAGTGAATGTAGAAGCAATACTGCTCACAACAAATGCTCGTGTAGCTGCTACACGAGTCCCGGCCAAATAGCTGTTTACGACACATCAGAGATTAATTTTAACCAAACATCATCGCTGGGAGACAGAACAAGACAACTCCGGGGGATTTTTGTCGTATCAGGTTAGTATTCAACCAATGTATTTTCCGACTTTTGCGTTAAATCACGGCAAACTAGTACCGTAACATGAATATCTGAACACGTGTGCAAACACGTAAATCCCACAAATCCGACGTGTGAGGAAGCCCGTGAGATGACGCAAAACATTAGTATTCAAACTCGATCGCATTTACACATTCTAAAAACAACGATCGTAATGTGAGTCACAAACGAGCCTTTAGGAGTTCCCGAGGTTTCATTTAGCAATACAACACTGTGCACACAACGCCATTATTTCCATATGAGGATGTGATAAAATCTGTAAACGCCTAGAGAGTGAAAACGAGAAATATGATGCCATTGACGAACATAACTTTACCACCCACTAGTACTTCCGCTGCTGCTCGACAGTGGTAAAATAAACTGAATTTTATAGAGCACACTTCAAGGGGCAGTGTGATCAACTGAGTCGAACGTCATCCGATTAAGGACAGATATCATCAGCAATTTAAAAAATCGCATAGTACCATAATAAGACTGAAATTTTCTTCTTTTCACCCAATTCAGACGTGTACTTGATACAAATAAAAATAAAAACATCTCTGTATGAGCTGATCTGCTACTTACTTCTATGCAATAATTACCATTTACGTACGTGCAGAGGAGTCGGTTTTAAAGATGTAACCTTCTCCACACTACTTCCAGTTCAGGGCGCGATGCACCTCATACAACGGTAAAACTTCGTCCTCTTCTAACGTTAGAACTGGTGTTTTTCAAGGTGAAATTTTGCCTTCATTGTTTTTTATCTTGCACATAAACAACACGCCTGTCAACTATATTGTCTGCAAGTATACTGACAATGTGATGGAGACGTAGAGATGTATCTTTCCGTCGACTTCGAAAAATTCCAAGCGATGTCTTCAGTTAGTCTCTATCCTGGTCCCTTATACTCAATTTTTCGACATGTAGTGATGCTCCCTTTAATCTTGAAGCCGACTTACGTCAGCACAGTTTTTTAATAGTCTACCTGAACTCGTCATTAACGGTCACAAAGTTAAGTCCGTTAACTTCCTCTACGTGCGGGTTCTCATCAATCTTGCAACAAAACCTTGTATTTTGAAGGTGTAAAGGACAAACTATAACGAGCAAACTCAATTGCCAAACGATTCAGGGAGTCTCGAATCGTCTGTGCATTGTCACCGAGTAAGGCAATATGATTAGTATATTCCAAGGCTACGACGACATCTCCAGGGAGAAGCTCGACGCCAGCGTTCGTTATGTTAAGCACCACGTTCTGTAGAACATCATCTATGGCAAAGTTGAAGAGAAATGGAGAGATAGGGCAACCCTGTAGTACTCCACTAGTGACAGGAAATGAAGATGAAAGCTCATCACAGGCCCTAACCTACCCGAAGTCTGATGGTACGGTGCATTTAGACGCAGGACGTACTTCTCAGGTACTCCGTAACTCCGCAAACAGATCCATAGTTCGGTGCGATTGACGGAGTTGAAGGCCCCTCTGATGTCCAAAAACACGTCAGTATTTTGTTGTCTGCATGTGTGTTGGTGTTCTAATAACTGAAGAAGGGTGAAAATTTGATCTATGCAAACACGGTGTGCACAGAACCCGGCCTGCTCGTTGCAGATTTGTCTTTCACCAAATGGGCTTAGTCTGCGTAATAAAACGGACGCTAACAACTTCGGCCGTGTTCGAATAAGACTTACGTCCCTGTGGTTGGAATAAGTGTTACGACAACCGTTCTTATTGAAGGATGTAACAATCGATTCTCCCCATGTGTAGGGTACACGTTCAGTTTCCCAGATCTTCGAGAACAGTCTGACTAGCTCTTTCACGGGAACTTCTCCACCATCTTTAAAAAGGGCAGGTGGTAGGTTGTCTGATACAGTTGCCTTGTGGGCCTGGAGTTCCTTTCGGATCTCCGCTTCTGTGGGCGGTTCCGTGACCAGAGTACACGCTCAAGAGAACTACCTGATTCCGTAAGACACCCAACGCGGTTGAACTGCGATGTAAAATGCTCTGCTCAGTGTTCCAAGGGTCGGTGAAGACTGTGCATTCTTGTATCGTTTACTTCGTATACTGTTTCACTAACGCACTGTCTTTTGGGGCCGATAGCACGGATGAGTTGGAATAATTGGTGGGTGTTTACACACCTAGCTGCCGATTCCATCTCCTTTGCACGTAGCGTCCACCAGGCTTCTCAGTCGGTTCTCAGGCTCTTTGTGAGTTTATGCTTGAGA